TAGACCAAGATGTTGTAGCTTCTGGTATGGTCGCGGTCTCATTTTGATTTAGAGAAGTGGGTTGACCTCGTTGTCGCAACTTGGTCTTGTTGTCAGGGCGACTTGGTAGAACGCACCTAGTCCGAAGTCGTCTGCCATAATAGTTGTCATGATTCCCAGTATCATACAGTGGATTTGGTACATTCTAAAACGTTTCGCCAGCATCATCAGTGAGTTTTGTCATTCACCGCATCAAGCTACCAACTCGTCAAAGAGACTTGTCTCTTGGTATTTCAAAAAAAGAGACTTGTCTCTTTGACGAGTTCGTAGCTTGGTGCGGCGAATGGCAAAACTGACTGATGATGCTGACTACGATGCCGGCGAAACGTTTGAGAATGTACCAAGTCCACCGTCCGATGCCGGCAATCATGACAACTTCTATGGCAGACGACTTCGGACTAGGTGCGTTCTACCAAGTCGCCCTGACAACAACACGACCAAGTTGCAACAACGAGGTCAGCCCATTTCTATACTACTTATTTTTTATTTAAAAGTAGGGTCCCGAGACTACCAATAAATCGGTTATAGCAAATGTACACGCGGCATCGTCATGATCCGAGCTCCGCTGAGGGTGTTGATAAGACCTAGGCAGGTCGAAATTGCAGTCCATCTTGGATGAGAACAACTTTTGGAAAAGCAAGGCTACGCAAAATGCAATGGAAAAGTCAGCTCTACTTATATTATTGTGGGGAAATGTAACTACTAAGAAATAGGATGAACACAATTCACACATTATTGAATGACTCATTAAGATCTTAAGGCAAAATATACGAATTAAGTAGAATCTCAGCCGATCACTTTTTGAGTAAAGTGTTTTTTGGTGATTGTTCATGAATAACGGTTTCTAGCTCTGACGATGTCCATAACATAACATTGAGATGGTAGGACGGTGAGCCGAGGTCTGCTTCGTACAATTCAACAATCACAAGTCGAAAGTAACCCTCTTTCGGTAACCGGTGAGGCCAGTATCTATTGACCAAAGGACTCTTCAAAACCCAACATATATCCTTACAGCTCAGGCAGCCATTTTGTGTGTGTAAGCCTCCTCCAAGTCCAGTCTTGGTTGCTGCCGCGACCTACGACGGAACAAGAAAATGCCCAGTACTGTGTGATAGAATGAGGGAGCAGATAGCAAATGCGTCTGGTGGACACGCTGTTGAAATACAAAGTCCACAAGGTTAGAGGTCAAGTGATTGGCTGAAATCGACGAATGTACCAGCCTCGTCTGCTTTACCGGCTCCACTTGACAGGCTGGCGCAAGTGAGCTGAAAGGTTGGGGCTAAAGGGTTTACAAACGCACACATTCTGATTATGGACCTTCCTTATAAAAATATAACCAAAGAAGAACCAATGAATAACTAACATCTGAGTGAAAAACCAGTCTTATGTTCGAAGCATAATTGATTAGAACTAAATTCACTGTCTGCAAGAGCAGCGCAGCAAAACTGCAAGAGCCTCCTACAAAAGTTCTCTGCAAGAAGGCCTGAATGATGATTGCTATAATTCGGCTCATGCTGATGGAAGAAAGTTTGGTAGCCTCGTGGTCGCCGTTAAGAAATAAAAAAAAGACAACTCAAGAAGTTGAGCAGGCTAAGAAAAGGCACACGATTCAGCCAGTTTGGGGTGTGCTAATATGCATTTTTGCGCATGTATACTCGTATTCATATTTTATTTATATTTACGTCTGTGTGGTACCTAAAGTGCGAGTGTGCATGAATGCTCGATTGGCATCACTAAATCATTGAAGCAGACATGATTATGTACAATAGTCGAGACGAATAAGCCAACTAGAGCAAGTGCAAAGTAAATTTCTGAAAAGGCGGTGTCGCCCACTTAATCAAGAGGGTAGAAGGGATGAATGAATGCTGCAATCTCGTCCAGCCCATTCCCAAGCGGTTTACTTGCATTTTGCAGCGGGGTCCCTAATACAGAAGAAAAGAACTGCAGCCGCGTTGATGAACATTCAATGGAGCCTGGCCGGACCGAGTATAGCCTTGAAGCGTGGTGACGAATTCAGACGAGGAATAATTACACGAAGAAGTGGAAGAAAAAGAAGAGGAATAAGAAGAAGTAGAAGAAGGAGGAGGAGAAGAAGAAGATGGAGAAGAAGGGGGAAGAGGAAAAGGATAAAGAGAAGAAGAATAAGAAGACAAATAAGGAGGAAAAGAAGAGGAAGAAGAGAAGGAATAAAAGGAATAAAAAGAAAAGTAAGAAGATGAAGAAGATGAAGAAGGAGGAGAAGATGGAGAAGAAGGAGGAGAAAAAGGAAGAGAATAATAATAATAAGACAAATAGAGAGAAAAATAAGAGGAAGAAGAAGAATAAAAAGAAAAGGAATAAGAAGAAGGAGGAGAAGATGGAGAAGAAGGAGGAACAGAAGAAGAATAAGAAGACAAATAGAGAGAAAAAGAAGAGGAAGAATAATAAAAAGAAAAGGAATAATAATAAGGAGGAGAAGATGAAGAAGGAGGAAGAAAAGAAGAATAAGAAGACAAATAAGGAGAAAAAGAAGAGGAAGAATAGGAGAAGGAAGAAGAATAATAAGAAGAGGAAGGAGGAGAAGATGGAGAAGAAGGAGAAGGAGGAAGAGAAGAAGAATAAGAAGACAAATAGAGAGAAAAAGAAGAGGAAGAAGAATAATAAAAAGAAAAAGAATAATAAGAAAGAGGAGAAGATGGAGAAGGAGGAAGAAAAGAAGAATAAGAAGACAAATAAGGAGAAAGAGAAGAGGAAGAATAGGAGAAGGAAGAAGAATAATAAGAAAAAGAAGGAGGAGAAGATAGATAAGAAGGAGGAAGAGAATAAGAAGGATTAGAATAAGAATGAGAAGACAAATAGGAAGAAAAAGAAGAGGAAGAAGAAGAATAAAAATAAAAGGAAAAAGAAGAAGAAGGAAGAGAAGGAGAAGGAGGAAAAGAAGAAGAAGAAGAAGAGGAAGAAAATAAGAAGCAGTTGATGATGCTGAAGGAAGCGGCAGAAGAACAAGGAGGTTCACCAGGCGGCCAGATTGGGTGCCAACCAGAATCCGCTGCCGTCGCCGGCTACTGCATTGCCAGCCGGATGAAATGCGAGATGGGCCGGCGAGGACAAGGCTGTGGGTAGTTGAGGCGGTAGTTGGGCCGAGGGATAGGCGTAGAGGGCGCCGGTGTTGGTCGGGAGGCTGGCCGAAGTGGACGGAGCGAAATGAGTCGAAAGGGTCGACAGGAGAAGTGACTGACGCTCGGTGACGTGGAGGATGCGCTGGTTAAAGGTGCATCTGCCAAGAAAAAGAGTTGGAGAATGAAAACCAATTCCATTTCAATCATGGTATCCGCGTATGCAATTGCAAATGCTGTCTATCAAGAATTAATAGAAAAACGCTTCAACTGGCACACAATTTTGAAAGTAGTAGGTTTGACCTCGCATGGGTTTCGTCAGAAACCAAAACCAATTATCACACTTGTCCATGGCACGACTCCAACAAATGGCTACAGGTGCCAGGGGATAACAGTGCAGATACGACATTCAGGGCAAGTCAGGTCTCTGCCAAATCCCATTTTTATAGCGAGATTGCTTAGCAAGCAATCTATCAATAGTATACCAAAATAATAACATAAAAAATAAGTAACTTCGCCGATTGCAATAACAAATAAATGTTTGATTGAACCATAAAAAATGTGGTT